GGGGCATAGCGTTCTGCCGCCTTACCAAAAACACCATATTGATTAACTGAAAAGAAAGGGGGAAAACAGATTTTCGAATCATACGCTTACAAAACAATTGACCGGAAAAACGAACAATTTCAAATGTCCATCTTCCACAATGCACGGAGAAAAATTAACTCTCTGTGGCAAACTCTTGGTGGCGCACTGCATTGTGAAACGCTTGAATTACCGACTTGATTTCAAGTCAAATTGGACAAAAGTGAAAGTACAACCACGGTACAGTGGTACAGAACAACTTGTTTTAGCAGAGGTACTTTTCTGTGTAGTTTGCTCAGTGCATGGCGGATCAGGAATTCCTCAGGGCAACGAGGCTTGAAGTAGGCCTAGTGAATCAAGATGTAGTGAGTGATGGAGTTTATTAAAGGAGTTTATTAAGTCAAATTTGGATTCTTTTTTTTACATTGTGTACAATGAAAAGACAGGGATGGGGGGCGCATCTGCATTTGTTGTTAATATGTTCCGGCTTATAAAAGTAACTTTACAAGCAAAGGGGTACCAGTGAGTCCTCAAGTCTAAAACAATAGTTGAATGTCGCCCAAGAGGTATAGTCTCGCAACCAAACGCTGAATGCGCTGCAGTATTCGAATGCGATTCCGGCATTGTCCAGGCCGACGTCATCCAAATTTAGCATAATTATTGGGCGTTTTTTATGTATAAAAAAAATCATTATCACAAATTACACTGGCGGAAATTAATCAAACGGAGGTCAACTCACAAGTGATAGAAAGAAACAGCAGTAAAAACAAATAAAAATCGATGGATTTTAATTTAGTTCCTGGCTTAGGGTATGGCGCCTAATTCATATTCAAGTGTTAATTTTATGCGCCCATTAAATTCCAAATTGTGACGGTCATTTCGTTCCAGAACTATAATCATTCAACCACGGTTGATTATCCGATCTTTACTACAATATGAAAACGGCCGTTTGTAAAGTAATTATCAAAACAAGTAATTCCACTTGGAGGACAAAAGTTGCGGGTGACTGTCTCCTCAACAACAGTTCAAAAGTTGGAATTTTTTTGTAATCTTCCTAATGATTGTCGTCGCGTGATGCACAACAGTCCTTCACATCGCCCACCCACGGGCAGCATGGGCTAGAAAAAGCATATAAGCACGCCGATTTCCCTGGTGTGCCAAACCGGAGCTGGCGTGACGTTGCTACTATCGGCCCTTGTTTGCGTGGTATAGTTTCTACCAAGAAGGTTAATAGTTGAGCTTCTCTCTGCCAATATCACCATGAAGTGCTTCATCCTGCTTCTTCTGATTGGGGCTTGTGCTGCAGCAGCTATCGAAGGTGAGTATTTTTATTATTTGACGCTAACACGACACGCACTCAGAAAAAAGGTAAATAATAAAAACGAATTGGTATGTAGAGGGTTGTTTCTTGATAATCAAAAGGCACCCAGGCGATGTCCATGGTGTTATTCGAAGCCAATTCGAAAAGGAAGAAAACCTTTTTTTTAACTAAATGATTGTAGTCACTCTCTATGACCATGATATCAGTGGCAATTCAGTTATTAGAGTTATATTGAATGGTATAGTTTAGGAGACACTTTGTAGTAAATTATTTTATTGGGTAAATACTGAGCATTAGGGAGATGATTTAGTGTTTTCCCATAATTTTAGGATGGGTAGTATCTTCAAATGTGGTTATGGGTGCCTTGTGCACAAGACTGCGGGAATGGTTCTCTGGCGTACCATTTTTGGTAAATTTATTATATGAACTATTTTGATCACCGTTCGGAGTTCGAACCTTGTCTGATGATTTATTATATGTGAACGGAGATTCACTATTTCATTCTTATACATATTCGTTCAGACTGTTAGCGTACCACAGAATCTCTTGCAAGGAGCAAGCTCGCGAAGAAACATGAACTTTTACGTTAGTTCTGACTCATTGGTCATAATAACCCCCCAAAAATGATTGTGTTCTTTTAAACATGCGTTCTCCGCGAAGCGTTCTAGTTTCAGCTCGACAAATAGATTCCTTTTTCAATTGCTATTTTCCTGGCAATATCAAAGTTGTTCACTTTTGAATGAGACATCGAACGAAAATATCCACCGACGTTTAGGCCAATAAAGGTTCCGGTTTCTGGTCGCCATAGCCATGCGCGTCGCCAAAATTAAAAAGTTGTTTTTTTAATGAAAGATGGTGTCTCAAAACACCAAAACTCACTGGTTTGACTGGAATCCTGCTGCTGCAAAATTTTAACGTGTTTTTAGATGGGGTTACGATCGAGTATAAGCTTTATGTGGCCCCTCTGGGCTCCTATACATGTTGCACTAAATTTAGTTGGGCACCATTTGCAGTTATCAGCCGACATTCGAAGAAAAAAAAGGTAAAAAAAAATATTTAAAAAAATCCGCGTCGCCGCACCACTTTTAGGCAAGCTCCAGATCAGAAACCGGAGACTTTTTGGGGGGCCTTAGTTGTTTCTTTACAAAATTCGAATTATTGGCTGCCAGACAATAACTTGGCTCTCGCTCGAAACGGATAGATTCAGACACCCTAATATGAATATCGTTTTCAATTGTGTCGTTTTGTCTGGTCTTGTTTTTTCTTTTTTCCCTTTTTGTCTCGTGTAATTTGGTTTTATTTGGTTTGTTTTGTTTTGTTTTGTATTGTTTTATCCTATCGTTTTACTCGTCTTGTCACATCCTTTCTTTTGTCTCATTTATATCTTGTCTTGTGTCTTGTGTTGCCATTTACATATCTCTCGTTTTGTTTTGTTCCGTCGTGATTCCCTGTGTCTTAATTTATTTTCACTTGTTATATATTTTTGTTATCCTTTAAAATTGTGTTTATAACTTCTTTTGTTTGTGCTTAAAGTTAGCTGGTTCATTTTAAACTTGTTTTCATTTTTTCTTGACTTTTTAATATGTTTTTTGATGTACATGTTTTCTTGTTATTCTCGTGTATGTGGTTATGTGTTTGATTTCTTTTCTGTTTTTATGTTTGTTATCTTTACTTTTATTTATTGTTGTCAGGGGTCTGGTTATACACATCATTGGATGACAGTTTTTTAACGTCTGTATATTTCCTAGACAGCTAGCCCCTGTGCAACCATTATTGTTTTTATATGTTTATGTCTAAATATTTAAAATAAATAAATAAATAAATACATTTAGTATAGTTTCTGTGGTTAATACAAAACATACATATTCAAAGTTCGTTAAAAAGAGGGTTTTTTGGAAAAAACTGTTTGAAAAAAAAAATATGAAACAGACTTTCATCTATTAAATGCGAAATTATGCGCCTGTAGCACTGCGCGAGAGAAAAATACTATCACACTAATCATTAAAAAGGCTCTTTTTCTTCCCATATTTCTTTGTCATTTTGTTTATGTTGCGCGCCTCCTGATACTAATTTCTGGATTCTTGGAAAGCATGTTCAAAACTTTAAAAAAGTCAGTGGTGCGTTTCTTTTTTCCTTGAGTGTACAAGGCGTTAGTTGCGTTGAGTGAAACTGGCTGCAGGTCTTTTTACTGAAAATATTCGCATCTAATCATCTTGTGTATGTGCAGACCATGTTACATTTGTTTACTAATTGGACGTTGTGGTCACGTGATGCTACAAATTGGATGTTGAGATCACGTGCTGCTTTCAGCAAACTGTTCTCTTCTGTACTTCAATATGAAAAAGTGGTGACACAACCGTAAATTCCTTTGAACATCGTCGCGCCAAAGTTGCTCAAACGTCTAGCTTCAAGATTGCTCAAACGTTGATATCAAAAACAAAGAAGTAAACAACAGCTAAGAAATCATTATTGGGAAAAGAAAACAACAAAAACAAAAATGTAAACACCATAAAAGTGTCAAAGCCAAATAAAAACAGTATCAAGTATTCCCTAATTTCCTACAGCTTAGAGGAAAGAACACTTGCATATATCTGTCATTTTCAAATTCGTTTAATGACCCTTATAGTAATACTGACATGATGTAGTCCATGTATGTGAGGGCACAATACGATAAAGCTTGTCAAACTTGCCGTGGTCACGAAGTGAAAATGTTGAGAATAGCCTGGTTATTAAAGGGTTAATTTGAGCAAAATAAACATGCAATTGATGATTAAACGTTGGGTTCCGTTAGCATGACGTCATAGGTCACATGGTCCATAGAGTGTAACATCCTTTCTTATTTGTGACCATTTTTATTTTTCCGATGTTTGCATTCTGACATTCAGATGAGACCAAGGCATTGGAGGCCTTAATGCAAGCGATTGACAGCAATGAGCTAGATGGAGTGATGGAGAACATGTAAGCTAATTTCATCAATATTTTTTTCTTTTAATCAAAACCTGCTGAGAGGAAAATAACGCTTAGCAAATTGTCTTACTAAGCAGAAAATAGCTGGCAACCAGTCACTGCAGTATAAATCCCATGGCATTTTGGTTGGTTACCTGATATTGCTGAGCACGTATTTTCTCTGCTGACCACGATTATGCTTAGCACATAGTTTCCGCTATCACTTGCCCACTAAGCATAAATTACATAGTTTTAAAGGGAGTATTACGGCCTGAAATCTTCTGGTTTGCCTTTAGTCCACACAATTTTCGTCTTGCGGAAACGGCTGTTTTGTTTTTGGTGGGTTTTTTTACTCACCCTGTATACTAGAACGCTGCGTTCATTTGAATGAACCAACACATGTTTTGTTCTCGTACTTCAACACAAGTTACTGATTGCGGATGCATCCATTTTCGCACCGAACGTTTTGGGGGCGCCCCTGAACTTATAAGGTGCTGGATTGCGCCAAGTTGCGAAGTAACTTTCGAGGGAATGAGTCTTGGATGGTTGTCATCCGTAGGACTTATGGATTGTCGCCCCTGCTGCAACATCTCTGGGATTGTTTTAAGATCTTCCCGCTGACCAAAACAACTTGTGTCTAGTAGGCCTAGATTAGTCCCACATGTCCGTAACTGCTATTAACTGAGACCTCCGAATGTGTTTCGTATAGGAGGAAGAACGGCGTCTCCACAGGATGGTGGGGGGCACACCACCACAACCAATGCGTCTGCCACCATTACGACAAACGAGATGAAGACAACTCAGGTATTTGTCTTAATGATAGGCATAGAAGAAAAAAATGCATAACATGTCTAGATCCATCTTTCGAAACCAATGTTGTAAAAAAAGAACGATATCCAAAACGTACAAGATCACCTATCACGTTTTTTTGGGGGGAAAAAGGCAACTGTTTCAGGGTTGCATTTATTTTAGGGTCACCCTTTATAGGCCCAGCCTACCTCTTAATCGTTTATTGTGGCTACGAAGTGTTGAGAATGGCCTTGGTACCTAAAGGATCAATAATAACAAGAGCAACATAACATACAAAAGATGATCATTAATGTTTGGGTTGACCGTTAGTATATGACGACACAGGTCACATAGTGCATAATTATAGTGTAATATCCTATTTTATTTGTGACCATTTGTTTCTTGGTGTTTGCATTCTGACATTCAGATGACGCTGAGCCCATGCCAGCTTCAATGAAGATCAAGTAAGCTAATTTCATCATTATTTTGTAATCAAAACGTTTATGATTTGATGAGCGGAAAATTGTGCTTACCAAATTTACTTACTAAGCAGAAAATAGCTGTCAACCAGTCACCATTATTAGCAGTATATATTGGTTGGTTACCTGATATTGCTTATTAAAAAACAACTGTTTTCTTTGCTTACCACGATTATGCTCAGCGCATATATTTCCGCTAACACTTCCCCATTAAGAAATTAGATAGCTCACTGGCTAAATTAAAGGGGCATTTCGGCCTGAAATCCACGGACATTTTTGGACCGTTCAAAAGGTCTGGTTAAAATAGACTAACCTAATGTTGCACACTGTTCCTGAGAAACACTGAACACCATGCGACACCACTGAACTTAAGCTGCTGGATTTCGCCAAGTTGCGAAGTAAATCTCAAGGAAATGAGTCTTGGGTGGTTGTCATCCATAGGACTTGTGGATTGTCGCCCAAAAGGCATTCCCTCTGACCAAAAAAAAATGCCTCTCGAAGGCCTAGATTGGCCCCACATAATGTCCGTGACTGCTTTTAACTGAGACTTCCCAATGTGTTTCGTACAAAGGAAGAGCCGCGTTTCCCGGGGATGGTGGGGACACGACCATCACTGCCACTGCGGCCACTAAGGAAATGAACACACATCAGGTAGGTTGTCAATATATGCCTAGAAGAAAAGGTACATAAATTGTCTAGACCCTTCTTTCGAAAGCAGTGTTGTAAGTCGAGTCCATAACGAGTCAGAGTACATAAGTCACAAGTTTGGTTCGGAGTCCAGTGTACATGTAGACAAATTGTTCCTGATAATCTACGATTGAATTTAAGTGTTGTCTTCTTCTTTTTTCTTACAGATGGCAAGCGTAACTATACCGACAATATCCATGAGTAATGTTGCCGCGAGGGATGCTACTGGGCGGAAATCGTGGAATATTGCTAGACATTTGTGTCCGGTTACGTTAATATAGATTAGTAGCGAAGTCGTTCCTTTTATTTTGATGTATTTTTTCGTCTTTCACTAATTTTACTTTTTTTTCTTTTGAAGTTTAATGGTGGTATGTTCTTATAGCCGAATGTTTAACGTGTATATCACACATTGTTTCTGATAATTTATTAGTTGATTCAAACAATATTCAAACAATATAGATGTTTTGAAATAAGAGAAAAACATCGGGGAAAAAAATCGGACAACTTCCTGAAGAACGCATGACGTAAATGTAATGGCAGAATAAGACGGAGGGACGTTGCTTGCTGGTTCGAGAACGCACCTCCATCTTGTAACTGCCTTTTTTTCAAATATTATTCCTCAAATGATATGAAACTGCTATGAAGACTTTTGGGAAAAGCGTTAAAAACAACACTGCAATTTCTCCACGGGGACAGACGGCTTTTTATTTGCTATTTTATCTATTTTATCGATTATATCCTCTATCTTTTAAAATAGGAAAGTCATAATTTCTCAGTGAAAATCAACTTCAGTTTGAAGGCTGTTCGAACCAATTTAAGAAACTATAGTCACGTATATAGCAAAAGCTAGTTTGACGACCCCAAGCAACTGCGGTTTTACATAAAGTCATTAAAAAGCATTTTGTCCAATACTTGAGAGGAAAAAAGTGGCAGAGCCAGCTGCAAATATTACAATTAATTTTGGTTTAAGTAGACCTTCGTCATAAAGTACGCATATCTGGTGGTAAAGTTTCGGCGTTATAACAAACTTCGGCCCGAATAAGTACCTGAAGGTAGAACTATTATTCTTGCAATGAACCTGTCGATTACTTTAGCAAGTTTGAAATACGATTACAAAATCAGCCGTGATACAATCACTTACTTATACATCACGAACTTGTTATACATCATCAAAACATGTTTTGTGTCAATCTTATCTATTTTTGCTCCTAGAATAGATCGGGTTTTACTCTATAAAGTTGATCTTTAAAAGTAAAATCTTAAGACACTGTGCAATGATTTCTATTTACAGACAGATACATCAATGTAGACTCGTATCTTACTACCGTAATTCTTTCATTGCTTCAGGTTATCTCTAACTTTTATTTCAACTTTCAAATTGCACATTTACTGAACGACTTCATTAAATTAGGTAGCAAAGCAATCTGCGTGAGAGTGGAGTGTTTAAAGAAATAACTGTGTCTTGGAATGAGGGATTAGGGTCTTGCCGAACGATGACAAGTGAACATGTACAGCAGGTGCGCTAATGCAAAACAGCACTTTTCTGTGTTGACTAAAATGAAATTTAACAGCCTCTAGATTGGGGAAGAAGTCGCACGAACTTGTGAAAAACGAGACGAACCCCCCCCCCCTCCCCTCCCACCAATTAGTGTCATTACCGTCTTCGGGGAGTGACTACTACTGCTGTCTCAATGAGGTTCTCGTCTCGGCCCTTCAAAATATCTAATTCGTGAAGTTTAAAAGAAAGATTGATGTAGGATAAAGATTTAAGAAACAGACAAGGAAATGAGGGAGGGTGAAGTTACTGAGTACTTGGAAAACCAATTTTCTCACTGGTCTGCTCCAATCTTATACTTACTGCGGCAACTCTAATCAGAGAGGGACATCTTTCTAAGGCATAGCCATGGGGTGGGGGAGAAGGGGGTATTTAACACCCCTCCTAATTTTTCTGTTAAGACTTCCAAGGGTGTAAAGGGGATATTTACCCCTCCGATTTTTTTGGGTAAAGACTACCCTGTTCCACTCAAGTGCCATTTTTTTTATCAGCGTGTACCATCCCCCCCCCCCCCCCAAAAAAGTGGTCTTTTTTTACCAGGGGCGTTTTGCGAGTGCCCTTTTTGGAATTTCGCGCGCCGCCCTGAAAAGCGCCATCTATTGTCCGATATAGTGCATGATCGCCCAGTTTGAACTAGTCTTGAGTATAGCCCTATATCATGCTTCCACCATTTTAGTCATGTTCCCTGTATCCAATTTCAGTACTGAATGATAATGTGTTTGTGCAAAAAGGAACCAGACTATATTTCCCTCCAGCCTCGCTGTGGTTACATTGATTTGGATGGGAAAAAAAATCAAATGGCTGCATCATGATAATTATCTATTACCTGTTCGCGTTATCCACGGAGCCAAATCCTGGAGAACGTCCGACATGTCCTGACATGCAAATTTACGCATGAACCACTCGGTAGCACAAAATAATGCAGTCAAAACATTGACTAGATTCTTAATTATTGAAAGTTGATTAGGAACTTAGTTAAACATGCAGAGTTTCAAACTATGACTAGAAAAAGTAGTTGAATTTGACTCCAAGTTTAGTCATTTGCACATTACTTTTTTCAATACTGACTGGAACAATCTAGTCAGATTGACTGATTTTCAGTTGCACCAAGTTGAACCTAAATAGCTAGTCAAATTTAACTGGTTTCTAGTCAAATCTGAATTTTTTGTTAAAGTGAGGGAAGCTTTGCATCCGAGAACAGAGGTTGTCATTATCACCACTAGAGGGCAGTGTTCAGGGGTTGCTTTTTGGAGTTACAGTGCGCGAATCCGCGCACGTGATCACACAGTACACTCACGAGGCCCCTCTCAATGGAGAAAGCATCCTGCACGCTGTTATATACAAAGTTACTGCCCCGTGACGTAGCCATTGAAGGGGGTCTTCGTGACAGAATTAATAGCGTGCCCGGATTGGACCACAGACTCGGGGCCGGGGGGGGGGGAATGGCAGAGAAACATTTTGGATGGTGGAATGCAGCTCTGGAAGTGCTCTAATGTGGAAAGAAAAATGTAAGAAGATAAGATAGTTAGCTTGAGAAACGGCGTAAGGGGAAACCTGAAGATGTGATGACAATTTTGTGCTGCTTATTGGGTCATGGTGCAGCGGTGATGAAATATTAAAGAGTGAAAGGAAGAGGCAAGGAAGGGTGGGGTAGGGTTTGGTTAGGTTGACAAGGAAAGTTAAGGACAAATGCGTAAAAAGGAAAATTTACTTTGTGAATTCAACAAAGTAAACATGTTACCCATCCCTATAGCTCAATGAGTTAAGTCACCGGCTGGGACTGTCTGCGAAGTCCAGGTTATGCATCTACTCATAGGTACGGGGCTCTTTTGCTGTCTCGGCAGCAAGGCATAGGGTGTCGCCTCGTGTCCTCCCTTAACGGTGCTTGTCCCTCCGGGGTTACATGGATGGACAGGGAAGGAGGTGTGGTGGGCCGGGGAATCCGAGACCCAGGAAGAGCCCTATATGGGAGATGGTAACCAATCGCGACCCCCGAATGCTTCGTCAACACCACATAACTTTTTGTTTTTCTTTATCCCATTATTTTTTCATTGTCGAGACTTTATAAGATACAGTAATGACGAAAAGGTTTTCTTCCAAAATAAATTCGCCCTCGGTAACAATCCCAGCCGGGCTACTGAAACACATTATTCATTTTCACCAGCCAGCATGTTTTTCTTTTTATACAGTGTCTTATAAACAAAAATGTGCATACATGTATAGCCTAAAACATGCATCCTGAGGTTGGTTGTTATGCCATACACTTCGCATATAAATCGATATTCATTTCCAATAACTTCAAATATCACAGAGCCTTGTGATATCACAGAAAAACTTGTTTTTCTCAAAATGTTTTAAGCAATCGAAATGAGAATCAAAGAAATGCAGCGATTCCTATTTCTAATGCTAATATGAAACACATACAATTGACAAGAGCTGTTTCGACGAACTACGTTACCAAAACAGCAAATTCTGAGCGGACTACTTTTCGTACGTTTATTTCCAAAAACAAACTGCGCGTAGGTTTGACCGTTAAACGTGAATAGCGCCCGCAATCAACTAAAAGTAATCACACAACTGATCGTCATTGCACACTTGTACAATAATTTTGTAATCACAAACAATTCTTTCTAATCACAACAGCAAACAACCCCTAACAACTTTAATTCTGATAAGAAAACACATACTTAATAGGATCGGCGAACTACGTCGCCCAAAACAGCTAATTATGCGCGAACTACTTTTCGTACGGTTAACCCCCAAACCAAACCTGTGTAGGCTTGACCGTTAAACTTAAACAGCGCCCTCAACTGACTGAGAGTATCACCCACAAATAATCGTCATTGGACAATGTACCCCGAATTCTTTCCAATCACTACAATATCAAGGAATTCGAACGCACCTTACTTTTTCTTCCAATATCCGGCGTTACACTATTGACAGCGCACTCTGTTACGTAATTTTCTAGCGCGTTCATTGTTACGCCGAACTGCCTATTCAACTTCACTCTCGATGGAGGAACCACCCCTCTCTCAACCTATTCTTCTTTTGTTTTTTTTCACTTCTTGCAATCAACAATTCCTTGCATGTCGCGCGACTGTACAGCCAAGAGCTGGTCTCGCGCCTACGTATGTATTAGGCCAAATCCAGGACAGTTGTTTTAGGGTGGGCCAAACCTTTTTGTTTGTTCCCCGATAAAGTGGGTCCAATTGAATGTTCCGCCCGAAATTTATATGAAAAGCAAGGGGCCATATATGGCATCGGTGCACGGTGGCGCAATTTTAATGATGTACGCAGGTGGCTGCCTTTTTGCGACGCAAGTTTAGACAAAGAAATAGTTCGGTAAATTTTTTTTTTGGGGGGGGAGCATAGCCCCTGTTGTCCCCCCCCCCCCCCCCCCGCTCCCCAAAAGATCTGCCGTTGCGTAATAAATGTCCCTATTCACCTGTGGCATCTTGACAGAGCCAGTTGGTTTTAACCGATTTTTTTCTGATTGAGTAAAATTCCAGCAAGTTCCACATTTTTGTATTCCACTTTATAAATCTTGAGTTTTTCAACTCGCTAAAATAATGCGATCCAAGTCATTGATTTGTGTTTTACACAAAGCTGCGATAAACCGGGAAATGTTTGTTTCAGGAAATAAAAAGGTCATCATATCCATGTTTT